CTATCATGTCAATATGTCAACTAGATGGCAATAAAATAGCAATAATCTATCAGTTAAACTCACTTATGGTTTTTGGTATCTAAAATATAGTGATGATTGTGATAGTTTTAAAATGTCACATCTTTGTAAAAACCTGAGATTTCTGGGATGTATATGATTACCTAGAAAATGGTATCAGACTTACATTCTACTGGAAAACCTGCCACATTTGAGAAAGAAATATAATTGCTGAATACATTGAGGCTTCTGTTAATTCTCTTCTTGATAGTTTTTGAAACAATAATGTAATGTTGAGACTGCAATCAAAAGCATCATGATCTTTATTCTGTCAATGATTTTCTTACCATTAGGTTTGAGTGGCAATAAAATTTCCAAGTAAGAAAAGAAATTTTGCATCCCACATTTCTTCTTAAAATGATTACAAAATTAATCTGGGTATATCTGGCCCAGTATCTTTGAGATTAGTCAGATTGAGGAATGCAGTTCATGAATCATGTCACTAAGGCTCAGATTCTGTGAGTCATTGTCAGGAAAACAATTGAGAAGAACAACTAGAAGGACCTGCCAGATTTAGGAAGTTTGATTGAATTATAGTGCTTCATAAGCTTTTTATTTTTGCAAGGTAATTATATTTTGGTAAATGCATTTTACTCTTTTAGGTCACCCTTAGCAATCTCTTACTATTTTCCTGAAAGACTAAATCCTTTGGCAGCTAACTATGTTTTTCACCAATTTATCACAAATGCTATATTACTGTATATATTTTGAGCTAAACATTTACATCCCCATAAATGGAAATTTGCCTTAAATTTTCCTTACTTCTTGCTTTAGAAAAAAAGAGGGAGATTTCATAGAATTTGGGCATTTTCTCTTAATCAGTACACTTTATGAACCATTGTCTTCCCACATTCTCCACAAATAAAATTCAAACACATTATAAACAATTTTTATAATTTGAAATTAGAAGATCCTTAAAGGTAAAGTAATATAAATGGACACCTTTATTTTCACTTATATCTATTTTTTAGGCCAACAGGGCATCACTGATGAGACAATGTATCCGTGCTTACAAGAGTTAATGCAATTTTAAACAGCATCAAATTCCCTTCCAATGTCTAAACTATGAACTAGTAATCTCTAACTTGGAAATAATAATGCAATCAAATATCTACCTATCTTCCTCTTTGAAATGTTATTTTTATTATTAGCAATAATGCCCCTGACACTTTTCAAAATTCTGTAAGATCATTGGTATGAGGCACTTCGCACTTTTCGGCACTGAGTATCATCTTAATATGAACTGGATTAAAATGAGCTTAAATCTACAAAGACTGTGATTATTATAAAGCATTTTACTCTTTTCCTGACAGCTTGACACCTAATTCCATAAAAGGGAAGATGCAGTCTCATTCAGTACATGGTACATATGAAGAAACTGAAATGTGTATCTGCATTTTATTTCTCAGGTGTCACTGATCAACCGCATTTCATTATCTTAAAACAGTTAAACATAAATGTATTTGAACAATAAGATTTCCTAAATTGCAATTTTTATCACTTGCATTATAGTGAATCCTCAGAAGTTCTTTATATTGGAAGCATTGTATGAGACAATTCCCTGGTTTTTATTCTTAGAAATATAAGGCTTTGGTGGGAGTGGAGGAGAGATGGGAAGAACATTGGTATGAATGGGGTGTGATTTTACCATTAAGTTGCTATTGTATACAAAATAACTTTAAATATTTTTTCTAATATTATTCTGAATATTGAAGCATATTTTTCATTTTAGCCACCTAAAATGCCATCCATGATTAATACAATAGACATTAAAATACAAGCATTATGTATTTGACAGAGGACAGACCAGATAGACATTGAATGCTCACGATTAACAAAAAATGTTTAAGTCAAGTGCTTAAAATGTGCATACAAAAGACAACTCAAAAAGACTTGTTTTATTAAAAAAAAAGTTAAATGAAAGTTCTGAGCACAGTTCTGATGAGAAACCTCTATAGCCTATGACATGCTGCTCAAGCATATTTGAGTTTTTCTACTTTGCTTCCTGTATCAGTATAAACAGTTAATTTTGCAAGTCCATCTAGAGTATGAGCTTAATTCATTTTTTTATACATTTGTCCCCCATTCTGCTGCATCTCTTTTGGCATTTCTGTTCTCTGGGATACCTATTGGTTCTCTATGCTTTAGACCATGTTGCTTGCTCACTTTGTCAAAAGAGGCCGCCATATGTTTTATCCACTGCATCCAAAGTCTATCAGACTTTACTTATTTTAAGAATTATCCATTAATGACAGTTACTGCTATTTCTTCCCTTCTTACCTAGTTGAGAGGTGAGAAATATTTCCCTTTAAAGGGCCAGAGATATTTTTAAAGTGAGAGAAAGTTAATTTTCACAAATTTTTTATTAATTAAAATAAAATAATAATTGTAATAAAGTATAATTTTGATGGAATACAGGTCTGTTATGGAAATTAATGAGTTTCTGTATCTCACCTCTGAAAATATCTTCTTACAAAGAAGGGAACTCTCAAATTCTAATATCAATCCAGGAGTATGTGATTTTAGTTTAGTATAAATGTATATATCTCTTAAAAGTTATTTGAAAAATTATATTAGATTATTTTTTTGGCTTTACCACTTAGCATATCATTACATTGAAGATTAGTAATTTCCAACTAAAAGCCAGGTAAACCTCTTAAATGTTATTTTGTCACAACTTATATCAAATTTGTATTGGGATTGAGATACTTATATATAACTTTTGACAGCCTTGACATATATAAAGTAACTTGATATGACTTGTGATATGGAGAACTTGTCAAAATGATTTTACTGAATTGTAAGTTTCACATGTAAGCATTCTTTTACCTTGTGATTTGTAAACTGATTTATTAAAAGATATTAAGTATGTACAAAATTTATTTTCTGAAGTGATTCAATGTTTGGAAATAATAGTTGAGGTTGCTTCTTTTCATTTAATAAAATCGCTATCTTGGACTTGAGCTCGAAATATGCCCATAAAATTTTGTTAATGTTAAGCAATCTGGCACTTATTTGGGAGGACAAGTCAGGATATTCAATTTGTCATTTTGATAAGTTAATACACCTGACAGTGATTTGGTTCACAGAGTGAATAAAATTCACTCTTGACCCTATAGATTCAATAATACAAGATAGAGTAAAATACTTCCCACAAAATATGTTGATGTATAATGCAACAAGTAACCATAGACTTGAAGACCTCATATTTTCACAAATTTGTTTTGTTAAACTTCTTTTTGCCCCACACATGTTTTTAACAACTATCAGTCATAAAATTTTTAGTACACCCCCTTCAGTTATTATTGAATTTTGTGTTTTCTCAACTACTTTGAAAATGTTCTTGTCTATTCTTCTCCATGCAAACCATCCATAGATGCTAATTATTTAGTTGCATCAAATTTGGCATTGCTTCTTCACACAAAGAGCAACTGTTCATTGTTGGTAAAATATTTTAACTCATGAAGAGACAATGAAACTTATTCTAAATCATTTGCCCTTATTTTTTATAGCTGCAATTGTAGTTGTGATTGATGTTCTGAACTTTTTGAGTCACTGTATTTGCCAAAAGGCTAATTTAAAGTTTATATTCTCTGAAAACCTTTCTTCAGCTACTGTAAGCATACATGATTTAATTAACTCTCCATCAGAACTGGCTTTCTTTGTTTGGACAACAATTGAGCCTTTCAGAATTTAACTTTGGTCACAGCCTAATTTTTATTGCTATTTTATTTTTGTGAAGAAGTTCTGGTGTGATGAGATATTACATTTTAACTTTCTAATTTTTGTGACTATTGCTTTTCTGTGAGTTGTGATATTGCAATGAGTGCTTAGTTTGCTAATGTCAATTTGTATAGTATCATTTTTTCACTGTTACAGTGTCATTGCATAATAAACATGACTTGTCATTTAAATTGGTAAGAGAATAATTTCTGCCCAATTGCTTTGAAGTTGTGATGTTCCAAGTTTGATGTTTTCTTTTTATTTTGACATGACGGGCATGCACTGGTAATAAAAATAAAGAAATAAAATAAACTGTCATAGTAATACATGTAGCACTTGAAACCCTGTCAAGTAATAGCTGCATCACTTCAATTTTTAGTGCTCTAAACAGCAATACAAAATCATTAGAGTGTAACATAAGGTCTTTGACACAACTACTCTACTTTGTTATATTAGCACCAAAACATCCAGCAGTCACTGAATCGGAATTCCTCAGCTTCTTTGAAAAATATTTCCTCTTTATGGATCAAGTAACTTCTTACCAAATCTATTCCTACATATCCCAAAATCTCATAGAGAGAAATTATGTATTATATTCCTTCAGTATATTAAAAACAAAAAATATTCTATATCCTGAGGGAAAAAAAATTAAATGTGTTACAGGCATCATCTTTTCAAGATGCTTATCATTGTTCTGGGTTGATACATTAGCATCTGTGAATTCATTGATAAATTCTTGATTTTTATTACATATATTAAATACCCTTATATACACAATGTAAATTTCTATTGTAGCACACACAGGATAGATTTTAGGATGAGACAATGGTGCATTCATAAATATAGCTCTTAAGGCCATTACGTTGTAAAAGAATTGGACTAAAATTCTCTATACCTTAATTTGATTTATTTAAGTATTTTAAATTGTCTTCCACAACTTTGCATATGCTTAAATGAACACTAAAATGTAACACTAGTACATAACTTTCATAAGAAAAGTATTTCATTTCTTTTTTATACTCCTTTTATTTTTAGTATCTAGAGCTGTACCTGGCACATTTTCACCTCAATTACCTGTTTGTTGAATAAATAAAATGTGATGTCTCGAAAATGATAATTTACTACGCAGAATATTATGTATGTGTAATGCTTTTGTGAAATGCATTTTTTAACTTTTATCATAAAACTTAAAAGTACTTATTTCCCCCCTCTTTCTAAAGCCAATGAAGGAGGTTGTAAGATCTCGCACCCCCATGAAAGAGCCAACAACTGTTGAAATCTGGACTCATCCTCAACCACAGGTATGAATGAGACATTACTTTTGATATTTTCTCCCTATTCCTTATGTAAGAAAGTTCATACTTTCCCTCTGAAGTTTCAGTATTTGAATCAGGTGGAAGAGACCGGTAATAGCTCATCAGAAGAAATAGCATGGAAGTGTATTAACATACATATGTACATAGGAGCCCTACAAAAATATGAAAACTCGAAGAAGGGCCAGATAGTTGTGCCTTAAATACTCTCTTCATAGGGGAAAAGGACATAGGAAGGTGTATGCAATTTTAGACAAGTAATAAATACTTTTTAGGAGAAATGAATGGGTCCCAAGGACAGACAGTAGCCTGAGACAAAGTTGCTCTGAGTTATGGATGAGGTGGACAAATTGCAATAAAGTGAGAGATAGAACTAAAGTGAGAGATAGAACTACAGTACCAACAAAAGTGTTTTTTTTTTTGTTGTTGTTGTTGTTCTTAACTTTTTTGCAACTATAGTTTCTCAGGAAGCTGTAAATAGGTACAGACATAGCTGGGTGTGGTGGTATACACCTGTAATCCCAGTGACTCAGGAAGCTGAGGCAGATGGTTTGATAATAATAGTATAGTTAGTTTATTTGTTTGATCAGTTACAATCTTTCCTTTCAAAATATCTATTAAATGATTGTCTCTTTTACCAATGTTTAGGAGAGTTCTAGGATAATGGGTTGAAACAAATTGAGAAATGTTTTATAATATGGCAAATTTAAGTCTTAGTATAATAAAGCACAATTTGTTTTATGTTAATTAGGCAAATATTAGTGAAATCTCAGTAAAATAAATTAGGAGAAATGCATTTGAGCTTTTATTTTTAACATCAAAATATGAGGTAGTTTTAAAGAAACTAATTTCACCCATTTCAATCAAGATAGCCCAAAATGTGACTAATAAATACATTTAAATTTGTTTTCCTAATAAAGGCTATAAGGGTACTTTTAAAAACTAATGTGAGGAGACCAATATCTAAAAATTCTATGTCATTGAATATTCTGTGTCTGGTTAATTTACTGTTGTTATGTTAATATGGTAAAAGTCCTGAATCTAATAGCTTGGTTGCCAGATGACTAGCCATAAATTGTTTTCCGTCCAGTTATTTTCAAATATCATTTTTTGGGGCTGGTGTTGTGGCTCAGTGGTAGAGCACTTGCCTAGCATATGTAAGGCACTGGGTTTGATCCTCAGCACTACATTAAAAAAATAATAAAATAAAGTATTATATCCATCTATAACTAAAATAATTGAACAACCCTATTGTGTGTTACAAGGGAAATAAATTCAGAAATTTTGATACATAAATAGAGATCTACAATATTAAAGTGGAAAGAGAATCAAATTTGTTTATTATTTCATGTGTGCTTCCAAAATTCACAAAAACCACGTGTTTTACAATTATCACATCCTACAGTATTTCACATAGTTTATGCTCTTTGGTAGACTTATAGAACTATTTTTTTAATATTTATTTTTTAGGTGTACTGTGGGAAGAAATAATTTCATAAAGGTAAATTATAACATAGTATCTATCCAAATTATCACAAGTTTTAAATCATTCAACCTGAATTTGTTTTTTTTTTTTTTTTTTGTCAAATTTCATATTCAATTCTCATGTCTGGCACCTCTGATTTTTCCTCAAGAAAATTGGTGAATAAATAGAATATGAGGTGAACCATAATATAATGATTTTCTACATTTTTATCCAAGATGCCTCTCATACGTTCAGCATCAGTTTTATTGACTCCTTGATGTTAAAACAAACAAACAAAAAACTCTGTCTTTAAAAGTTTTGAAGAAAAGTACACAATATATTTTTCTTTATTTATTTTTCACAGCTTCAGGACTTGACACTTCCTGGGCAAGTACTGTGCCATTGAGCTACACCCTGAGCCTTATACAATTTTATGGTATATAAATTAAGGTCCCAAAATTTGGCCTACTAGTATGACATAGCTTATAACTGGTATAATTATTTAGAAGTCAGATGGAATTAAACATTGTTATGTAACATATGTCCTCCATGAATAAGAAGATGCTCTATCAGTAATATTTTGTTTAGTCAAGTACTTACTACTGATTGTATTCTACTAAATCAAATGCCATATAATTTACTAATTTCTTACCAATTACTGATTATTTTTTCAATTTTTAACCAAGTTAAAATCTCCATAGAGAATAATGGGTGCCTACATAGTGGTTTATTTTTGCTCGAGGATCTTTTATTTCATAAGTCTTTTAAGTATCTGATAGCCTTGATTGTCTTTACTGCCTGAGGCTTCAATTGCAATTTGACATGCATTATAAAAGTGAAAAAAATTAAAAAGTTAAAATAAGCTGTATAGTGGTAAGTTACATTGCATATGTAGTATTACTATGCATAAGGTACAAATAGGAACTTTTCAACCTTATTTTTGATAAATATTGTGCTGGCCTCAGAAAAGTTTAAAGAAAATACTTTTGTATGATTGAGGTTTTATGCTTCTTTAAGAAATATCTCATCTTCAATAAGATATTCATTACTCATTTGGGGGATTTAAAAAAAAATTCTGAGCCAGGTGTGGTGGCGCACTCCTGTAATACCAGCAGTTTGAGAGGCTGAGGCAGGGGATTGCAACTTTAAAGCCATCCTCAGCAATTTAACAAAGCACTTAGCAACTCAGCAAGACCCTGTCTCTAAATAAAATATAAAAAGGGCTGGGGATGTGGCTCAGAGGTTGAGCACCCCTGGGTTCAGTCCTCAGTACCCCCTCCCCCCCAAAAAAAAAGCAATTTTCTGAGAAAAGAAATGACTAAAACTAGAGTCATTCTGAAAATTATTTCCATTTCTCCATTGAAATCTTTAAATACATCAAATATTCAGATGTCACTAATTAGAATCCTTGATACAGGCAGTGAATTTGACAGTTTACTTTTAAACACATGGGCAAGTGCTACAGTTGTATCTTTTATAGCACAATGGTTCCTGGCAATAAAAGCCAACTATTCAAGTAATTAAAGTAGTATGTGAACCATGAAATCATAGATCAACTTATCATATGGATAAAGTAGATCAAATGAGAGTGTCCATTTCCTTATAAGAGGAAATACATTTTTGTTAGTCTTAAGAAAATATTTAAATAGCTGGATTTGGTGCATAACTGGGATCATAAATGTTCACCAGGGAATATTGTAGCATTGGTAGAGTACATAGATGAAATAGAGAGCTATTCAAAAACTGGTTTTTGACCAGCTTTACATATGCTGAATGCATATGTCAGTTTGTCTGAGGCTCTTATTTTTTTGTAATGTGGCATTTATAGTGGCTTGATCTTTTCCCTTTTCATAATGAATTCTCCCTCCATTTTCCTTGCCTCTGATTTATAGCAATTATAATGCTTAATGAGCTAGCAAATCTAAAGCTGAATTATATTCTTTCAAATTGAAACAAAATAAAATTAGTATATTTCTTGAGGCTTTTCATACTTTTCTGACTTGTCAGTAGTAATTGCATTGCTTGTGAAAAAAACTTTTGTCACTAAGATAGTATTCTGATTATGAATATAGAAAATGTCTTGACTATCACTGCATTTCATAAAAACAGATATTTTGTTATCAGATCTTATATTCATGGAAACATAAACAGTACAGCATGATAGTACTGCAAAACTTAGGTAGAATGTTTGGCTTGTATACATTATACTGTTTGATTTTAATTCCTCAAATCTATTAGCCACAGCTAATGAATGAGTCATATATATTTAACAAAGACCATTACTAATTTTGACTCAGACAGTAAATAAAATAGTGCAAAGCTGTTGAGTTATTCAAGAGAAATAAGGAAAGTACAAGTAAAGACTAATTGGAAAGGCTGATGGAAGGAAGTGAAATATTCCAATTGAATTTAATTTTTTAATTTAACAAAACTTTTTGAGAGAGAGAGAGAATTTTTAAATATTTATTGTCCAGTTTTCGGCAGACACAACATCTTTTTTTTTATTTTTTATTTTTTTATTTTTTATTGTTGGTTGTTCAAAACATTACAAATTTCTTGACATATCATATTCCACACTTTGATTCAAGTGGGTTATGAACTCCCACCTTCACCCCATACACAGATTGCAGAATCACATCAGTTACACATCCATTGATTTACATATTGCCATACTAGTGTCTGTTGTGCTCCGCTGCCTTTCCCATCCTCCACC